CTTGTGCCCGGCAGCCGCAGCACACGGGGGACGCTGATCCCCCGGCCGGCCCCGGGCCCTGATGCACAACATCTGCACGAAACACGCAGCGATCGCACGGGGGAATCCACAGACCCCTTCCACCTCTCCGCACAACTCTGCGGTCATGTCTGTTTCTCACCCGGGAGTCTCGGCACGCTCCTTGCTTCACTGGGATCATCTGGAGATGTTTTGTGCTTTCTTCTCCTAGGGAAGGAGCTGGACTTTAGATTTTTTTTCTGCCCAATACAAACTTAGTGACAAAAGCACAAAGGAAGGTTCTCAGTTCCAGCAGGACAGCTTCAAACCAGACCCCAAGCTGGCATGAAAACAGTCAGGGGTCTTCTATCTGAATGAAGGAATGAGACTGCCAGGTGAGCTCAGGACACGTTATCCGTTTTATACAGCATACAGACTCCACAGACATTAGATGCTCACACCTATGGCAGGATCATTGAGTGTAATCCTGGCCCTGCACCAGAGAACCCCAAGAATCCCACCCTGTGCCTCCCATTGCCCAAATTCTCCTTGAACTCTGGCAAGCTTGGGGCCGTGACCACTTCCCTGGGGAGACTATTCCAGTCCCCAAACGCTTTGGGAGAAGAACCCTTTCCTAATATCCACTCTAACCATGCAGCTCCTTCACACAGCTTACAGTAGAGATGAGATTGCACAGAACATAAGAGCAGCCATTTAAAAACCCTTTAAAACAGCACAGCAATAGACTTGTTTCTGTCAGCCTGGAAAGTAAATATCCAAAGCTAAATACCTAATTTACACACCAAGCAAAGAAAGTGGTCCCATCATCCCATACAGGGATTTGCTTCTTACTTGGTGTCTTCTGGCAACCTCTACAATAAGTAAGGAAGGACTCACTAGATGCTGAGTCCCAGCTCTGAGGCTCCTGCTCACTTTTATTAGGATGGTTTCAGCTTGACCAAATCAAATACAAGCACACAGCTGCATAGAGAATTTCCTCAACAAACACAATTTTTTTATTTCTGTAGAAAACATGATATTTTTCAGGAAGGTCCAGCTTATGTAACAGCAGCGTGCATGTTAATATACATAAATACACAGGGTTACAATTTAGTGGGAAATACATTTAAAAAAAAAAAGCTTTCAAGTACACAAAACAAATGTAGTAAAATTATACTATCCTTTTCACATACCTGCCTCAGAGAGAAACATTTCACAAAAGGAATGAACTCTCACTCCATCATCTGCCAACAAATGTCTCCACTGGACACCAGCTGCAGGAGAGTGTGAAGATGGGCTGGACAGAGGATTAACAGCCAGTGTCTGAGATCAAGAACACATTTACCCACGGCAGTTCAGTCCCTGTTCCCTCAGCTATCAGGATGTGTGTAGTGTGACAGTTACCCAGCCAGCACATTAAGAGAGCTGCAAGAGGTAGGAAATACCTCCTTCCTTCCACTTTCAGGTCCCTGAAAGGTTCATGCTGCACAACTTTGTTACCCACAACACTGTGGCAATCCCGTGACCCTGGGAGGCATTTATTTATTAACAGTCACAGAAATGAGAACGTGGCCCCACAGGCACAGCACCGGTGCTGCCAGGCAGTAAACACAACTGACATAAGCACAGAGCTTATGGAAAAACAGCTGCTGGATGCAGGCAGCCTCTTGAGTAGAAGGAATAATATCCACAGATATGGAAGAATAGCTCAATGCATCACAGACTTCCTGAAGATTTTCCTGCCAAGACACCATCAACAGAGAATTATAGTATAATTTAAATAAAACATCAGTTTGAATGAATTTGAAAGACATTTACCACATACAGGAAGCCAAAAGGCTGATCCTTATGTTAGTAACTTTAATCCATTCCTTCTACTTTTTGTCCCGTAGGAGTTTAGAGACCGGTTACATCACTAAACTCTTTTCTAAAATTTTACAAACTGAGGATTAAAACATAAATCAGTCCCCAAGAGAGAAGAAAATGGCATCTGAACAACAGATACTCCCTGATCTTGCTCTACGTGCTCTCATGGTTAAATCAGCAACCTGTGCAACAGGGGTTGTGTCCCATTTCCAAGCCATGCAATGGCAGAGATCCCACAATTCACTTCAGCTACTGCAAGTGCAAAGGGCAATTCAAGTTTTCCTACCAGTCTCCAAGACAAAATTTAAATGTTTGCAAAAAACAGAAACATTTAAAACTCTTTAAACAATTTAAACCAGAACCGTTCCTATCAGAACATATTTTACATGTTTAAAAAAACCAAGAAACTCAGGCTATTAAATAAGAATCTACATATCTTAAAAACTGGATTTTTTTTACATTACAGCCAGAAGTGTTAATTGTCCTATTTTCCAAGGTAGGAATGTTCATAAGTTATTTCTTTGAAGTGCCTCACAGAGGTTTTGGTTGGCATCTGGTTCCTCAGTCATCACCTCCACAGTCTCCCACTCACCTGACCTACTCGATTTCTTGATGGCCTCTACCACACTCTGCATGTAGAGACCATCTTCAAAAGAGGCTGCCATAGACACAGGTTTATGATCCCATGTCCGACGGTCTTCCTGGTCTTGGAAAGACTGCCGCAGGGCTTGCACCATGTACACCATTCCTTTCAGGTAAAGCAGCGGGATGTCCTTAAAGCCCTTATCCAAAAGGCCCTTGTTGACAGGCAGAGAGTCTGTAAACAGTAGCTCTTCCTGGAGCGCAGTGTTCTTCTGCCCGTACAAGTCTGTCCCACGAGCTACGAGGCGCCCGGCAGACCCCACGATCATGACCTCATGGATGAACGACCCGGGCATGTTGAAGTTGAGAGTCACAGTGCAACAGACGCCGTCGCTCATCAGCATCTGGAAAACGCAGAAGTCATCGCTGGTGACGTGGCGGATCCCGCTGATGGCCGTGTTCTGCTTCACAAAAGTCTTGAGCAAACCGTGGACCTTCTCTGCTCTCCTGCTGGTGAGGTGAGTCAGGAGGTCGATGATGTAGGTGCCCATGGTGTGCAGCCCACCCCCTCCCATGAGCTCGTCACAGATCCAGTTGTACTTGTGGCTGAGCAGGCTCCCCCCGTAGACTCGCACGTCGCAGATGATGACGTTGCCCACGTAGTGCTCCTCTATCAACTGCTTCATCTTCACAAAGGCGGGCAGGAAACGCAGAACGTTGCCAACGATGCTCATCAGCTTGGGGTAATACCTGGCAGCTGTGACCATCCTGAAGGCATCCACAGAGGTAGCAGCTTTCTCACACAGCACGTTCTTCCCTATTCCTGCAGCACAAATGAAAAAAAAAATACAATATTTAGCACACATGAGCTAAACATGCTCAGATGCCCCAAAGGTTGTCGGGAAGTGGTGTTTTTAAGAGTTGGGCTTTCCTGCTGCAATTTCTAAGGTAAAGGTCTGGGAACTGAAGTAGGAATGCCAAGTGCAGCAGGACTCAATAGTGTTTCCAAGATGCTCCAGTTGCAGAGCTGAAAAGCTCTCCCAGAGGGAAGCTCCAAATAAAGAGAGGATTTTTACATCATGAAAGATAAATGTCCAAATGGCATCACATGGCATCAAAACAAGACACAATATGAGTGCTGTAGTAAAGAAATTATTTGAATACCTGTATAATCAGAGGAGAAAAAAAAGCCATGTACCCTGCAGGGAAGAGGTGGAGGAAGTGAAGATTTGATTTTCACTTTGTGTTTCACCATCACTATACAATTTTATTTTTTTTAATTAATTAATATAAATGGGACATACCATTTACTTATATATAAAAGACATACATACAGGTTCTGTGTACAGAACACGAGAATTAGAAATAATGCTTTGGTAAGTGGACTGTTTTAAAACAACCCTCTCTAATTAGAAAGCAAATCATTTTGGTCTGCACATACAGCCTGTACAATCAGACAAAAGGTGACTGAGTTACACAGAAAAGAGCTGCACCCCCAAGCTGACCCACTGCACTGTTACTGCTACTGATGCACTTTACATCATGCTCAGCCTTAATCAATGGGGGAAGCCAATAATCCTCTTTCTTCCCCTAACTTTAAAGCAAAAAATGAAGTAAAACAAAAGAGCATGACAGTACAAGTCTTAACCAATTCTTATATTTGGTGCTTTACTGGTATTTCCCTTCTCATGGCAGGGCTTTACTTTTACTGTTTTTTCCTGGTTTACATCTGTTCTGATCAAATACTTATCTAAACATTTTTCAGTGTAAAAACCATATTATTCCTAACATGGTTATTACAGACACTAACTGGGGATGCCAGACCTGAAGGTCAGTCATGGCACACTGCAGTTTCTGCCCAAGAATTGCATGAATCACTGCACACGATGGTGGGTACCTCTCTGAAAGCTCCTCTTTAGCCAGGAGCAGACTGTGCTCCCTGCTCAGAACAGCTTTTAACTGACTTCCAGTGAAAAGGTACCAGCACAGGCACCTCAGTCGGTCTGTGGCACGGGAGGGGAAGGCGGATCCCTCTGCGGGTGCCGCTCCCCGTGCTCCCCCTCCCGGCTGCAGCCAGCCAGCCCTGCAGAAACCCTCCGAGCGAGCCAGGGGCCAGTGCGCTCCTGTGACACTGCTCAGCCAGGGGACAGCTACAGGAGACTCAGAACCTCTGCTTCTAATAGACACAAGTGAAATCCTGTCAGAAAATGAGAAGCCTACAAGTAAGAAATCCCCTATATTGATATGAGTCTACAGCAGCTTTAATGAACAAAGGGTCAGGTCAAACTCCCAGTGGACACCCTGGCTGTGCACTGGTTAACCCCCCATTTCAGGGACCATTTCTGACTCCTTGTCCCCAGTTCTGCTGCCAAGGCAAGGCACAACACTCACTTCAGTATTTTTCAGGGCTAGCTGAAGCACCTGGACAAGCATCTGAAGCTGCTTCAGTCTAGTTTATCTGCCTTGTTTAAATGGCACTTGTCTCCAGGTGGGTTACAGCAAAGCACCACCGGAGAAAGCAAAAGGATGCTCACAGCATCCCGAGCAGATCCACATCCTCAAATCTCACAGAAAACCCAACCTGGCTCCATGTACAGCCTGGGTACAGCTCTGCAGCCAGTGCTCTGCTGGTGCTGCTGCCCTGCCTGCCCAGCCCTGGGTCCCTGCAGAGGGCACTCAGAGCAGAGACAGCAGAGCCTGGGCACAGGCCTGTCATGCTAGGCAGCTCCTCACACCGGGCTGTCCTTGCTCTGCTGACCAGCCTCACCCTCACCCAGTGCTCTGCCTCTTGTGGCAGCCCAGGCTGAGCCACCGGAGGAGCTAAAACTGGCTGATGCCTTTTTTTGGCATGGCAGCCAGTGCAGCACACTGACAGCTTGGCACAGCCCACCATGCATTGCCGAGTGCCAGGACAGAGACCTGGGAACACATAACAGCTCTGGGATAATCCTGCTGTTGCCTTCAGTGGAACATCCCTCCAGCTGTCCCCAAGCTCTACCAACTTAATGCCTTTTGTTTTTCAAGGCAGTGTAGCTTACATCCCTGGGATTGTTACTATTGTTTTGGTAATGAATAACCTGAACTTTGTACCATATTGTTTTCCTAAACCACAGCTGCAAAATTTTCAGTCGAGGCCCTCATCAGCCAGGAGACATGAGAGCGTGGATGGGTGCATTTAACTGTGGACATGAACCACAACACAGATATTTGGTGAAATTTATTTAGTTCCTCCGAGATCAAAAGAAGCACAGATTTAAAGACAGCTTATTGCTTTGCCTGTTGTGGAGATAAACCATAAGATTACACTGATTTTAATATGAACTATCCCCTGGGCTTTGGTCTGTTGTGTCTGGTTCATGAACTCAAACCAGTGTCACTGCTTTGTCCCCAGGCTTGTTCATGGATGCCTGTCAGCAAGAAACTTAGGCAAGGAAACTGCACCACCTAGAAAAACTGGGGTTTTTTTCTCCTCTTCACCAGGAACAAAAGTGGAAGCATAAGTTTTAAAAAAAGTAGAAAAATGTATAAAAATAAGTGATTAAAGTGTCACCACTTCAAAACAAACAAACCAAGCCCAACACAACACATAAGACCATTATTATTGCACCACTTCTGACATTTCCTAGAGCCCAGTCTCTTGGCAACAAAACACCAATCTGTTATAAACAATTCACAGCCAATAATTCTCTGATTATAACCATCACTGCATCTATCTTAACTTCCAAAGAAAATGTTCCCATCTTTGGCCCTGTCCTGGTTCTGTGTTCCTTCAGAACATTCTGGCACAGGAAGCCACCCAACACTGGCTTTAAATAAGTCACACTATACTGGGCAGCAGACCTGCAAATACCTGCAATGAACCTGGAAAGCTGAAAGGCAAGGTCAGCATCACACTGGGTCTGGGTTGTCTGCATCACTTTGCAGATCAGAACATCTCAGGACAGGGGAAGTGATTGTTACCCTCTCCTGCTACATCCATCCATCTCCCTGGCTCTTTCAGCCTTCCACCTCAACTTCCATTCAAGCATATGTACAAACTCTGCATTTCTGCACCAGCTTTGCCTCCCTTCCTCCTCTGGATAATGCCATCCTATGGGTACCCAGACTTCAATGAAGGAATCCTGTTGCCTTTTAGTTAATAAATCAGCAGAGAAAGTTCCATCCTCTCCTTTTTAGCCCACTTGATCATCAAGAGCCACAACACCTAGTGAAATGCATATTAGCTAACAAGTGCTTTAAAGAGCTTTTAGCATAGTTGAAGAGAATTTCTAGCTTACAGCTCAAATATTTAAAAATCAGAATACCTTAAAATTCAAAGGACAGTACTCTAACAAGGTAAACAAACAAATCTAACAATGTAAAAAAGAAAAGGAAAAAAAAAGCCTGAAATCTCTCTCTGCATTTCTAAGTGGCATTACAAATGTTTGTGCAGGGACTTGTTTACTTCCAAAAGAAATTACTGTAGAGAAAAGAGGCACAACAAACCACCCTGGCTCACATGGTCTGAGATTACCTGTCCTAAAATTAACTCATGTATCTCCTGTAAACACAGTAAAAATATCACCCTTGTTATTTACAGAATTACACGCAAACTGACACCCACGCTGCACTAGAGGAGAGGACATTAACACTACAAAGTCACACACTGGGGAATTAAGAAATGTCAGGATGCCTGGGCAGTTGGCTCCCATCTCCCTGCCCAACCAGTCTGAGGTGTCATCCCTTCTTTCTCATCTAGCTGGATTCCTCCTGCTGTCCCCAACATCTGCCCTCCTGAGTCAGGTAGAAGGATTCCTCCACCTGGGACCGTATCAGCCTGCTACGGACATGGATGTGCCAAGATGGTCCAGGTAGTGGCCAGGGTCACAGCTAAAACAGTATTTCAAATTCACAAGATTCTACTGAGTGTATACAAATATTTTTCAAAGGCTTTCAACTTCCAAGCTTGATTTTACTTGTGATGAAAACAAAGAGCTGACCAACCCTCCCCTTCCAGATAAATCTCAGTTTCCTAGTATAGGAAAACCTAAAGTGAATTGAACAATTTAAGTTGTTTTGGTTTTTATTTTCTGTTGCTCTGGATTTTTTTTTAATGGGCATAAAGCCATTTACACTCTCATTACTATCTCTAATATAGCTTATTTTTATTACAAACTCCCTACCATAACTTCAATCTGAACTGAACAAGATATTTTAGCCCAGTTGCTTCAAGCAGAGCTATAAGCAATTATAACCCCAGGTAACCTTTCTCACAAATGCCACACAAAACTTTCAGCACTTCATTTGCCCATTGGTGTAACCAGAATTGTGCTGGGTAGCAGCTTCAAATTTCAATCTGCCAACAAGCTACGGATTTTTGGTCCAACTGCAAGGACAAAAAGGTACCTAGAGCCTTCACAGCAATTTGCCGAGTTAGCGGTGGAGGGATGTTGATGCAAACCAAATCTACGTCCTGATGCAGCAAGACATCGTCAGTCCGACTCGTGTAGAAGGAGATGTTCATTTCCTCTGCCAGCTGCTTGGCCTCCTCTTCAGTTTTCCCCCAAAGAGCTTCAATGGAGAAGCCTTCTGCCCTCAGCAAGGGTACCAGGACCCGGGCAGCACTACCAGTTCCAAACACACCCACTCCAGGGAGCATTTTCATTCTTCATTCAAGCATCAGGGTCTACACACAGGCCTTCAATAAAACGTCTGGCTCCTCAGCTTGGTGTTCCATCCACAGTTCCTAAAATGTGAAAAGGTAAAAGGCATTATCAGGAAAAGGCACATTGTGATATCAAACACACCTATCCTGAATGCCACCTTCTGTCCCTTGTATGGCTTTCAACATTCTCAAACATCCTAATGACAAAAACCAAAACTCCCAGAAGGCGCAATCTATAAAGATGCAGTACTAAGGGACAAGTCTGACTGACCTATTGCAGAAGAATGGTAAGAAAGCAGCTTGACAGAGTCACCTCCTCAGCTTCAAAACTCAGCACATGGGCAGAGAAACACACAAAAGAATGCAGGACAAACCAGACACAGAGAAGCACAAACTGGGAGTGACAGGAAGCAGCAAGAGGACAGGACACAGAGTCTGTCACACCGACAGTAAAAGCAGTGCTGCTCCATTTGTGATGATGTAAGTCCCTAAATGAGATAAAGGTTTGTGAGATGAGGTAATATCTTTTATTAGACCAATTGAAATAGCTGGAAATAATAAACATGCTTTGGGACACATAAATCTTTCTTCCAAATTAAATACACAAACTGAAAACAACTACTTGGACCTTAACAATTTTATGGCAAATAGATAAGTCAGTCTAGAGAAGATACAGAAAATATGTCCTGTGGGGAAAGCCTAGATTCAGTGAGCTTGTTTTGCCTGGGGAGGAGAAGCCTACAAGGAGAGAGAATGCCAGTGTTGAAATACACAGAAATCTGCTTTTTGAAAGGAAAAGGGAATTCCTCTGTGTCCACTGTGGGTAGTTAAAAGCTTAGGGCAGTTAAAAATATCTCCTGCTAATGCCACTTAATCTCCAGGGATGCAGGGTTTGCACAGAATTATTATATTCCCTACACACAAATGTTTGGTCAAGTCACACACTCCTTTTGTTCTTCCAAATATTTCCTGGTAAATCAATTCCTTTGATCCCTACCTGCCTGTCTGTCTTAGCACAGCTGCTGCCCACAACTGGCCAAACTGCCTTTAGCACTTGCTTTAGCACCAGCTTCAAGGAGAGATGTCAGAAGTGTCCTCCATCTCTGACACCACAGAAATCTACAATCCAGCTTTTGTTCTGTGCCTTTCTGAATTCTCATTTACTACACCCACTTGACCTTTTTTGAATTTTTTTTTTGAGGGAAAAACATGACTAATTCAGTTTTTGTTAGAAGCTCATAATAAAAAAGCAAAGACCATATCTAAAAAGAGAACTGCTACCAGCACCAGATCAACACCTTTGGAAAAGACACCTATAAGCAGCAAGAATCTTGGCCTGTTTCAGCAAGAGTGTTACTCATCTCCCCATCCCAAGACACTCACATTAAGCTACAACACATGAAAGCAAACCCTGACACAGCACTGGGCAGTAGCAGCACAGAATGAAACTACTCCCAGTGCAAGTGCTTTGTTTGCAATCAGCATCTCATTAGTCTGGGGGTGCCTACACTGCCCAGTGCGTGTTATAAAAACTGAACCCTGACTGAATTCTTAGGTACTTTTATAGTACAGACATTAAACTAGAAAACAGAAATGCTTGAGAGTATTTATCTTGCAAAATGCACAAATGTTTACAGATGCTATAAAATAGCTTATGAAATATTTACTTAATTCAGTATGTTTTTCCTTATTCTCTGTGATGTAGCATTTCCAGTGATACTGTCACTGTCATTTTTTGCAAGGATGAACAAAGTTCATTGGCATAAATTCCTTTTTATCCAACATTTAGCAGAACACTCAAATAAGGCATAGACAAAGATCAAAAGGATCTTGAAAATATTTACTAGTCTACATAAAAGGGTGGGATGCTGGGATACTGGCAAGGAGGATGGCTTCTACCCAGGCTTGCTTTATATAAATCAGAAAAACAAAAAAAATACTCCTTGAAACTGGATGGACAGCAGGCATAACTATTGAAGTCTCCACAAATCTGTTTAGCAGTTTATGGTCTGGAAGAATTAAAAATTCTCACAGCAGAAAGAATATAATCTTCATTTGAAGGGACACAAAGTGAGGTGGAACAGAGACCAGGTGAGTGTGTGCCTGCTTGCACCAGATCACACAGAGGTGTCTAACTTACACAAAACCACAACGGTTTAGAAAAGGCTGAATTCGCTGAAAATGCTCTAGAACACCACAGTATGTGCAACAGGAAACTCCTGATAAGCTCATTTCTGATAAGCTGATTTCTGTAAAACTCGCTCAGTTTGTTACTCTTTCCTGTCTTCCATCTAATTGCCTCTTAAAAATAATCTCGGCCAGGTGGAATTATCTTAAATTCATTTATCCTAAAACACAGTATGCATCTACATTGGTATCACTAGGAGCTATTGGCACAAACCTACAAAATCTAGTGATTAGCTACCATGCACCAGCTCCTGATGCTACAAGAACTTCAGGTCACCAGCTCACCACTAGTACCACCAGAAAGCAAGAAGAAGCCAACCCAGCCTCACTAATGACTTCCAGCAGGGCAGCCCCAGCTCTCTGGGTACAGAGACACAGCTTGCACTGTTAAAGGGCCCCATAGGGCTAGAGACCCCCAACACTGCAGCCACCAGGCTCTGAACAGAGGACAAGCTCCTCTGCCCTCCCCTGAGAGCCACCTGCAGCCTCCTCTTCCCCCACCAGACTTTTACCAACTGGAAAGTCCTGGTTTGGCAGGGCAGGCACAGCAGGATGGATGTGGCTGCTGAAGGACAGCAAAAAGACAATCACAGGGCAAATCACAGAACACCTGGAACATGAGCAGAACCGAGCAGATGCTGAAAGACCTGTAATGGGAGCTTTTAACAAGCGCTACATGTGGGTACTGCAGTCTTCACACACACACTGCAGACACTCCAATGCGGGCAGGAGAGGGATTCCAGCCCAGGCCACCCTGAGCAAATAGCCTAAACCCTCAGAAAAAGGCCACTGCTGAGGAGAGGCAGCTGGAATTAATAGTGTAGGAAGAAGGAGCAGAGATCTCAGATGAACAGCACATCTTCTGTGCTGCCACAGAAGTCCCCAGAGCACCATCGTCTGGAGCACTATGTGCACATCTGGTGCTTTTCCTCTAAGCAGGAGGGGAGCAGAACTGGAAGTGCTGCAGAGGTGATCAAAAGCACCAAGATCTTCTGAAAAGGAAGACCTAAGCAAAGAAAGATTCCTCAGTTTGGAAGAGATATCACAGGTAATAACGTCAAGAGTGAACTTAGGCTGGAGAAAACCAAAATTTTCTCCGTCCTTCACCATGTAAGAGCACATCAAATGGAGCTCAGAGAAGGCAGGATCAAAACAATCTGAAGGAGATGGTTCCTTGAAGCAAACTTTTTTAAGCTGTGAAGTGTCCTTGCCACAAGACAGTGCAGACATTTGTCATTTACAGGGAGTGTAAGACTCTTGTCTATCCACTGAGGCTCACTGAATCCACAGAAGTCACATCTAGCACTGAACAGAAAACTAGAGAAAACTGATTTTGGCAGATCATGGGAACAGCTCTGAGAAAGAAGTGCCTGAAAATGGTACTAGCACCAGCTTAGAATCAGGTACAATTTCTACATATTTACTTTAGAACTCACCAAGCCTCAAACCTTCAAACAAGCCTCAGCAAATTATTTACAAAAACTAAAATCCTAGTGCATCAGCCTCTCCAGTAGTCAAACACTGGAATGAACACTTTAGTGAGAACCCACCCCTGGAAAACCCAAAACTAACTTTTATGGCCAACTGAAACCAGACTGCAACAGATATCTTGCATGTCAGGAGATAAAAAAAATCAATCTCTTTTTAACAGAAATGAAATAATCCTGCAACATCATTCTGACTTAAATTTTCCCAGACAAGCACTTGAGAGCTCTGCCATTCCTTTTTTTGGTGGCCACAAAGCACCTTCATTTTTGCTGAATTTCACAGTGATTTTGAAGTTGCATCCTGGTCATAGAAAGAAGCTTTTGACTCTTTTGGTACGCATAGCAACAAGAGGTTCGTGATCCAGTGCAATGAAAAACCTGATGGTTCCTACAGGATCCCATTCAATCCCATGTTGAAGCAGTCTGGGAGCTCCAAATGCAGAAGTCTCAAAAATAAAATAGTACAGTAAAGGATCACAGAGCCCAGAAACTGTTGTGGACCATTACAGATGGCCAAAGGTAGTGAAAGAATAACAGCCCACGTTCAGAAAGGTGCTGGCCAGGGTAGCACTGGCTCTGTGTAAAGAGAATGCTTTTCACATCTCTGACTTATCCTAGTAAGTTCCATTTGGGTTCCAAGAAAGATGAGGCACATGGCAGAGGAGCACACCAGCAAGCACTTCTGCCCTTTGGCACAAATATACTTGAGGCTCTGTATGGCATGGTTCACGTGTTGATGTCAAAAGTGGCGTGCTTTTTTTACTAAACGTGCTTTTGATTCAGTGCCAGCGGGTTGTGTGGTAACCCACAAGTCCACACTCCCACCACACCTCGAGACAAGCCCAGCACAGCACTGTGTCCTTCCTGGTGTGGATGTACTGCAGCGAAGGCCCCGTTCCAGGCACAACACTTCCCACAGGTGCCGCCCGAGGTCGAAGGTGCCAGTGAGAACCTTCTCATTGGAGAGAATGAACCGGAGACAGCAGCACCTGGAAAATCCTGGAAACCAAACCGGCCTTCAGGCAAAGCTCATGGCAGCCCCGGGGATGCCTCTGGCATGGTCCACGATGCTCTGTGCTGCCCGGGGCTGCGGGGCTTGGGCTGCGGCTCTTCGTGTGCAGGCTCCTCACAGGGCTGGACGGGACAGAGCTCACCTCACCTCTGGAACAGGGCAGGGCTCGGCTCGGCTCACCTCACCTCGCCTCACCAGATCTTCCCCCTTCAGGGGTCTGGACGGGACAGGCCCCACCTCACCCCGCCGGCCCACACGGAGTTGGTACCCCCGGCCCCTTCCCAGCCCCTCCAGGCCCCGCGCCCTCCGGCAGGACCGCGATCCCCTCGCCGCCCAGCGGCCCCAAACATGGCGGCACTCAGGGGAGCCTCACGCTCCGCGTACAGTGCGGCCAATCCTACGGCCGAAGATGGGCGGAGAGGAGGGACTCATGGTGACGGAGAGAAATAATAACCAATAGGAGATCAGCACTGAGTGGCGTCAGCCCCGCAATGGGCGCTAAGTGAGCCGCTCTGGGCTTCGGGGGGATGCCGGGTTCGGAGTGTCAGGGGCGGGCGCCTCCTCCTGATGATGCTGTGCCTCAGGGAGCCCGGGACACCGGCAGTGTCTGCTGCTCCGTGTCACCTCCTGCTCCGTGTCACCAATACCGGGGCTTCTGACGCTGGCTTGTCCGTGCACAGCTCCGTGAGGGCTCAGGGGCCTCAGGTCAATGTGCACTCGGGCCCCGTCAGCCCCACAGTGCTGTCAGGTTCGGGCCGAGGACAGGATCGCTTTTGACGACCTTGCAAGGGCAGAGCACCACGCTACCCAAGGAACAGCCACCATGAACCGGCAGAGGACAGCACTTCTCACATCTCTCCTCATCCTTCCCAGCATCGGTCAAGGTCACGGAACACCTTGGTGGCACGTTCTGTTTCCCTCGTTTCACTTCAAGGGAGTGGGGAGCTCCTGAGGAACCCTGTAACCTCCCTATTGGTGTGGACATTGCATAGTGCCTGGTGTAGCTGCTGCTGACCCTGTTATCAACAGCAGCATTGTCATTTCCTCTCTTTTCTCCTTGGCAGAGAGCACCATGGAATGTGGCTGTGGAGCTGGAAGGGGCTGTGGTAGGAGAGCAGCTCTGTAGAGTCAGCAGAAGGCAAGACATTAACCTTTAGTTCCACCAGGACCACAGCTGGGAACATGGAGAAGGCACTTCCTGCTGGAGAAGGTCTTGGGTTCATCAGTGCCAGGAAACGTGGGAACCAGAATAGAAATGAAAAGGAAGGAAGCAAACAAGTACACATCATTGTGCAATAGTGAAATGAGAGAAGACAAATATTCGAATGCAGAGAGTAACTGAACAGAAAGAGCATGGGAAGAGATGAAGAGGTCCAGAGGGGAGAGCAAGAGGGATACAGAACCTCTCACTTGTTATTCTTGTGGATCTCGTACCCTCTTATCTGTAAATACCATGCTGGTGTTGCTGTTTTCTCGTGTGGGTTGGTTTGCAGTTGAGACCTCAGCTTCAACCAGGAAGCTGAACCACTGGCTGGTGGAGCAGAGCTCCAGTGAACACCCTTTCTTCTGGAGACATGTGTGGCTGGACTCGTGTGCCCAGCATGGTGTGGAGGGTGGTTACTATGGGTGCTGATAGAAACCAAAGGAGAGGAAATGGCAGATGGGAGGAGGTTTTGCTCTAAGCCTGAAGAGGAAAAGCGGTGGCAGGCAGTGAGGAGCAGCAGAGATTCCACCCACAGAGGCTGGGGAGAGAGAGGGGCCTGCACCTGCTGACTGCTCCCCTTGGTGGCAGGGGTGACACAAGCTGTGTCTGGCCTGGTAGGTGTTCATGTCCTAGTGTCCCTCATGCCAGAGGTGGCAGGGAAATACAGGAGCTGGGCTGGAGCTGGGATCTGGGTACTCATGGTCAAACTGGGGACAGGGCTCTGCAGGGCCATGTATGTCCCACAGCCAGAACACTCTGATCAAGCCCATCCCCATGTCAAACCACAAGTCCCTGGGGACTGGCACAGTGTGTGTGTCCCCACCTGGGCTAAGTGAGCACACCCCATAACCAGATGGGTGTGGACATCTCCCCATCCCCCTGCCGTGACAGCAGCACCGCTTCCTCCATGCGATCCATTCCCTGGTGTAAAACAAAACAGACTCAGGTGGTACGGGGAGGTGGTGCTGTAGGAAACTTGGAAAGTGGCAGGGAGCTGCTAGGTGGGCCCTGGAGTATTGGGAAATGGCCATCAGCAGCTCCTGGGGGCGTTAGTCAGGTCTCGGCCGAGAATATGTGGACAGGAGGAAACGGGAGGAGGAATCATAGAAGAGAGGAGATAAGAATTGGGCTGAGGTAAGAGGAGGAGAAGAAAGAGGAAGCCTGTGAGCACAGAGGGAACTGCCTGGTCCAGTGGTGAAGGGGTGAGGCCCCGGCAAGGCTTCAGCTCCCCTTGGCTGACCAGTGACCGTACACTTCAGGGAGAGACAGAGGCTCCTGGCTGATCTCACCAGGCACCCAGCATGGTCACCATGAGGCTGTTGAGAAGCATGGAGCTCTGGCAGGCCAACACCTTTCTGCCCCTGCTGCTCCTCACCTGGCTGCCAATTGGTGAGTCCCCCAGTGCCCTTGCCTCTGCTCTGAACTCTTCCCTCTTTGCTTATGCGTGCAGGAGGTGTGGAAAGTGTCTGCTGCTGCTTTCATCTCTCCTCTTGCATCATTTAGCCCCTCTACTGCAGCAGCAGCTTGCCATGTGCCTTGCAGAGGGGTCCCCCTTGCAGCTGTGCATGCACAGACTGTGAGCTCCGGGGCTTTGAACCAGCTCTGCCCTCAGCAGCAGGGAGAAAAGACAGTGGCAGGGAAGGAAACAGAAATGCTTATAAGCCAAATTACTGCAGAGGGGGGTCAGCTTCACATGGCAGATGTGGGTATTCCTTAAGACAAAACCAGTCCTCCCATAGGATTTTTTTTTTCCCATCAAGACTTGCTCACCAGAATTCAGACACTATTGATGTGTTGGTAGAGTTAGATCTCATCTTGCAGTGTCTTCCTCAGGCAGGCTCGAGCAGCATCACCAGGGAGGTGAAGTGGTTTAATGTCACCTGAAACAATGGGAAACAGCAGAATGGAGGGGATGTGGAGAAGAAAAATGATCTGGCCCAGCTCATCTTTGCCAATGTGAGCAAAGCAAATGCAGGAATGTACACATTCAGAGTGCTGAACACAAAGAATGTGTCCAAGAGCAGATGTTCTGAACTGATCAAGGGTGGTAAGGGGCAGAAGTCCACTAACACCCCTCTGAGTGGTAAGAAAGGACTGAAGAAAGGTGAGAGAGGGAGGACTCAGCTGAGAACGTGTGAAGTGACTTCAGCTCAGACAGTGATTCTGAAGTACTCCAGAGTGAGCATTATGGGGTGGGATGAAGCCAGAGACACTGCAGGGAATCTGTTTACTATATTTTCTTTGCTTCTCTAGGGCTGACCTTTCTCCACTGCCAATCCCCCAGTCCCACCTCATGCTCCATGAAATAGTGGAGCCTGAGGCACTTCCTGCTTGGGTGCCTATGTCACAGGGGGAGGAGGTGCCTTCTCCCTGATCCTCATGTTTCCAGACCTTCCTGATGCACATAAAAGTTTGTGCTCTGCACAGCATCCAGTGACACAAGTCAAAAGGCAACATTTCAGTGTTGAGTGCTTAGCATGGTTAGAATGCTTAGAATTGTTAGCAGCCAGATTTAGAAAGGCTCATCAGCTGCTGCAGAAAAGGACAGTCACTTCATTGTGTCTTTCATGAGTGACACATGGGACATGGCCCTGTAAGATCATATATATTTCAGCTATCACTTCTGGTTTTGTTTCCTTCAGGAGCAGTCAGTCTGGAGGTACAGCCATGCACCACTGTGCAGTTCGAGATTTGTTTGGAAAATCTCACGGTGCAGGTGAAGTGGTGCAAACCTGAATGTCTGGAGGGGGAGAATCAAACCATCCCTGTGACTCCAGGAGAAAACTGTATGAATTTCACCAGCTCAAGCCCGTGTGCAGCCCACACAGGAATCTGTGCATGTAGGGTCTTCATCACAAGACCAAATTTGACAGACACTGGAAACTGCACACAAGCAGCAGTTCACTGTAAGTGGCAGTGGGTCTGTTTCCATGGGGGACATGAATGGGCAGAGAAGGATGCTACATCCAGCACTCCTCTGGTTCTTCTATGCATTGTTTCCCCTGAAAGCACCCTGAGAACTGGAGGAGCCAACCTGTAATAGCAGCTTTTGGCAGATTCATCCACCCATGGAGCTGCTGGGCCATTGGTTCTTTCCTAGGACAAGCCATATCCTCCAGCTGCAGCACATCAGCCAAATACTGACATGGCTGGAGCTGTGGTGGCAGGAGAGGGACATCCAGGACTGTGGGGTCAAGACTTCTGCTGCAAAGCAGAGCAGGGTGCAGGGTGTTCTCTGCCTCTGGACAGTCTCTCACTCATGTTTCTGTCTTTCAGGCTGTGGCTGTGCAGAACCTCTGACTGATGTCACAGGGAAGATCTGGACAGGTATGTCCTCACAGTCCCCTGGCTGCGAGAGTGGAGGGCAGGAGGAGTTCTCAGGGAAAAAGAGGGAGGAGCAGTAAGGGAGAAAACAGCCAATTGTTTTCCCATGAGTGGGTGGGACCCACTGCCAAACTGGGGTAGGCACCAGAGGGTGTGGTGCTGGGAAAGGGCTCTATTGCTCCAACTACTCCCTGGACGAGTTTGGAGACCATTCCCCACAGGATTTTGTCAGCACCTTGAAGCTATAGGTGGTTCAGCGTCTGGAAGCCCAAGTCTGGGAAGAAATTGACCCTGCCATGAAGGAGGCAATGGCAACCTGTGTCCCTGTATGGGGGAAGATGGCTCATGAGTGCCTCTGTGATGTTGTGTGTGCAGGACTCAACCTCCTCCTGTGCATCTTCCTTGGCTTAGCGGTTGGGACCCTCCTTTACATGCCGGTAATTGGCTTCCTGCTGTGGCAGTGCACAAGGAACAAAACAGGTTGGCATTTCTTCCTCAACTGCTGGTCTGGACAAAGCCAGGCTTGGGAGATGTCCATCTTTGACATCCTACTGCTCTTGCTTGCTCCATGTTCCCTTCACAAGTCCTCCTGAAGAAGGTGTCCTAGCATGGTGCGAAGGTTCCCTTCCTTCTGGCCAGTTGCTGGTGGGAGTCTGGTTATGGCACAACCTGTTGTGTGATTGAAACAGGTCTTGCATATCCAGAAGTGTCCACCTTGGGGCCCTTTTCCAGCCCCTTCAAGGGCTTTTAAGCCCTTGCCAACCCCTGCAGCCCCTTGGCCACCTTCAGAACCACAGAGCCACAGTGTCTTATCCTCTCCCACAACAAAAGCAGGACCGATGCAATGCTTTCTTGATTCTTTCATTATTTTCTTAATTTAAAATAATGATCATTGTCACTATTTTAACTACTTTTTAAACTAAGTTTCCTTTTTCAGGAGAGCTCATGAGCAGGGAAGTGGCAGAGAGGAATCAGGTCAATATGGTAAGCCAGGGAGGGCTTTGCACATACGGCTTCCTCCTCCCTGTCAAAAAAAAAGCATTGTCTGTTGAATACACACTTAAAGGATTTCATAGTAAAATCAGCTTTGCTTTTCTGAAAACATGGTCCTAAACACTTATTAACTCCTATCAAATAAGGGCTTATGAGTGTTCAAATAGGTGGCACTTCTGAGTAATCTGGGTAATGCTTGGGCAGCACAAAGAGTAGTGCCAGTGGAAAAATATTAGCAGGGGAGACACAGAAAAAGAAAGCCAAGGCTGTAGTTGTTGTTCTCTCCCTGCAGGCAGCCCCAGTGACAGGGACTGAGGACCTGACCTATGCCAACCTGAATTTTGGAAAGAAGGAGAGAGGACCTGCCTCCTCCAATGTCATTTACACTGAGATCAAGCCATCACAACAGAAGCAGAGTGCTGGGGAGGGCAGTGCTGCCAGCACAGATATGTATGTCTCCTCCAAGGAAGAGGGCAAGTGAGGGAGGTGAGCAGCTTGTTGTCCACCTGTTGGGGTTGTCCTCCTCAAAAACAAGGTGTTTGTTCATACAGCAGTGCAGTCTTGGTGACCAAAGACACATTTTACCCCCGAGTGGCTGCAGAACCTTGCTTTATGTTCCTGTGGAAGAAGCCATGGCTAATGGTGAGGACATTGAGCCTGTTTTCCCCTTGCCTTCTGCGGCTCCAAACAGTGCCAAGCCTCAGCAACTCTTTCAGTCTGCACTCACTGACAGGCTCCTCTAGCTACTTGCTCCATGTTCAGGAATGACACTGTATACTGTGTGGCCAGCATGGTGTTCAGGAAGAGCTTGGTCCTGGATGTGCTGGGTGGCATGGCCATGAGAAGTTCTGAAGCAATCTTCTGGATTTTCTCTGAAGCAGGCACCTGCTGTGATGTGGGTTGACCTTGCTCTCATTCACTCACTTGAAACGCAAGTGGCAAGGATGGAAAAGCATTGCTTGCTTCACAGAGGTGCTGCTGCAGTGATGCACATGGATCTGCTTTGTACTGGGAGTGGCTCGGTGTTTTTGCTGGTGAATACCCTTCTCATGGATAGAGCACTCTCTTTTGTGCCCTCTTTTTTGATAATGTTTATTGTGAGTTTTTCAGTAAAACTGTGATTCCCACTTGTGGTCTCGCCTGGTGTTTCCTCTGCTGTTGGAAGAGGATGGGGAAGAGGAGCAGTGTGAGTGGAGTTAATTTTCCCACTGGGTTTGAAACCAGCACATAGCTCTAGTGATTTAGTGTTATAGCCACAACAGGTGCTGAGATTCAGAGATGACCCCAAAAAGCTTTCAGCTAAGAGGTACAGACACCTGAGACTTGTACTAACAGCCTTGGCAGCCACCTATTATTTACTTAGGGAAGGGGGAAAGTTTCAGAGGAGGCAAATATAGCTGCAGAGTTCTTCAGAATCCCACTGGTCAAAATAGAAGGCTATGAGGAAAACCACAAAGGACATGAACAGAATGACATGTTCACTAAATTGCAGAGGCAAAATTGGAAAGCTGAGGTACAAATCAAATTAAGACTAACAAGGGCTGCCAGAGGCTCTGCATTTGCTTAACTGCCTTAAAAGAAAGGAGGGAAAAACATGGCTCATTGCTTCACCAGGGAAGAGTTACTGATCAATGAAATGGAGGAAGCTGGGACAGTCATAGTGCTGCATTTGGATCCTCCTTTATGCCCAAGGTTAGTGGGGAATCAGATCTGGGATCGCATTTTTAACAGGGATGCAGACAAGAAGCCATGAAATAGCCTTGGAACAATAACACCAGTGAGCAAGGGGCAGGGAAAGGCTGCTGGAGGAACTAACTGAGGCAACCTCTCCAGTGCAGGCAGGAAGGGTGGGGACAATCATTGCCCACTGGTTATTTCTAAAAAGTGAAGCAGCTACTATAGCCAGAGCTGGGCCTCCAAATTTCACTTCTCAGAAAGATGCTATCACAAGCAGTTAAGCAAGTATGTGAAGATAAAGCAATGATAAACACAATGCCCTCCTTGCCCCAGACTGCTCCATTTGGAGAGGGCTCCCTGTCTCTGTGTGCACCCAAGGCAGGTGAGTGAAACATCCATGATGGGTTTTCCTGCCAGGAGCATGAAGTGTGTCCTTGCTGCCCCCCCAGCTCTGCTGGCCATAAAACAGAAGGCTGACTCATGCAGAAAAACAAAAGTGAAAATGCTTCTCCCTGTTTGGGCAAGAGGAAAGCAGAGTTCAGGGTAAGGGCTGCCTTTATCGGGGGCCTCATAAAGAGACCTGGTCTTCTACTACCAGTGGGGCTGAGAAAAGGTAATAAAACTCTCAAAAGCCCCAAGTGTGCTGAGGCTTTTGCCCATTCCCTTACATCACTAGCTAGGAGCAACAAGGTGGTTGGACAGGTGGTTTATCACACAAATCCTGTCTCCCTGGGAGCTGTTCTCACTGATGATAAAGGCAGGGAGTGAGAGAGGGGTCTGGGAAAGCCTTGCTCTGGAAAGAAGGGGCTTCAATCCCACCAGTGACAGCCTGGGGCAGTGCAAGCATCTGAGCAGTCAGAAAGGAGTTTTCTCAAGTTTTCCTTAATATCTGTTGTTTCCAGTGCATATCACATATTCAAGTCAAGTTTTCAGAGGAACAATTTATGGAGAACTCCAAGATGCAACCTAACATTTGAAGAGTTTAAGAAATCATTGAGAGGCTGCATAGAAGGAGACACGCTTAGAATACCACTAATACTAGCCTTAAAACAAAGGCTTTACTATTGGTCACTTTTATTTCAAGAACAGAACAGCCTCTCATCCCAGCCCCCTCCATGAGTTTAGTAACTCAGGTAGCACATAACAAGAAGTCACATCCTGTAGATCAAGAGCTCCAAACAAAGCAGTCCCCACTGAGACACTGGGTGTGGGCTTTTCTCCTCCCCCTCCCTGGGTGAGAAGCAAGCCTGGCACAAAATGTGAACAAGCACCCTCATCCCACACCTGCAGGATGCTTCACTAGCAGGAACTACAGAAATAAATAGTATCTCATGGAGAGGGAGCAGAGGGCCACCACAGATCATCTAGAAATTAAGTTATTGCTATGTTCTTATGTATTTGACACTGCAGGTAACTCATCTGGGTAACCACCAAGAGAGGTGACAGTCTCAGATTGCCCTTGTGTTATCTGTTTGTGTTGGACTGAAAGCTGTGGGAAGACAAGACAGATCTTGTTCCATTGGCTCCCTGCCTTAAAGGCAGGACTTCTTGGTAGGACTGAATCTTGTCATTTTGCTGAAAACAGCTGGGGGTAGGGGCTCCCAATACACTTGGAAATTCATCATGCCTGCCAGCCTTTCCCATGCCCACTGCTAAGAGTACATACTGCTAAGTGTACTCCCTGCTCCTGACTTGCCACAGGAGCTGCTGAAACACCTCCACATGATAAAGGGCTGCAGGTTCAAATTTCAAAGAGAGCAGGAGCCCAGTCACCCCGGGGGCTGAGCCAGAGCTGCAGATTCACCGGGGAAAATCAGGACTAATTAGAGCTGTAGGACAGGGCATGGGAAATGCCACAGGCACACAAGGACAACACGTGACTGTACTTCCCCCTGCTGGTGGGACACGCTGTGACGGCCAGCGTCCAGGATCAAGTCAGGTCAGCCAAAACAAAGTGTAACATAAAGTCTAATACGTGACTTGTCACCAGAGGATCTGGTAGCCCAAGGCTGATGACAAGCAGTGAGCTCACAGCAGTGTCAGTGCCCGCAGTGTCCCTCCCCACATGGAGTATTGGCTGGAGAGCATGAGTTGGAGAGGATGAGGAGGACTGCAGGAAGAACCTCAGAGTGACAGAAAAGCAGCAGAGTCCTTGGCAGGACACATCTTTGTTAGGCATCGTGCAGCTGGTTCTCTTGCAGGAGAATCTTCTCCCCAGGCTTGAAGGCAGGCATCCCCAGGTAAGGGCAGCTGGCACAGCGGAATGCATCCCCCAGGTAGCACTGGCAAGGGAAAGAAAAGCACTGTCTGTAATCAGGTGCCACTTTCAAGTCTCTTCCCCTATGATACAGTTTCTCCAGGTCAAGAGACATCATGCTTCTCAGCGTCTATGAGCATAGAAACGTCTTCCCTTCTATCCCCTTCTCAACACATCTGGTTAGTGTGGATGGCAGAGCTGTGCAGGCATTGGGCTCACACAGAAATGAGTCAACACCCCACTTGGTGTGCACAGGCTGAGGCAGCCCCCTGAGCTCCCACAAGACAATCCTCCCTGGGCAGATCCCTGGTTAGGCCATGAGCAGAGAGGGAAATGCTCACTGCTCACTCTGATTCCCCCAGGGAGTCAGAACAGACTGCATGGGCACAGGGCAAAGGCTAAAACTCTGTAGAAGCTGCATGGGCAGTGTGTGGAAGCAATAATCCAGCTCAGGCAGCAGTGACTAGGGAACACAATTCTTACATAGAGATCATATACTGCAGACCATAGTATAAAGACAAAAATTACTAATTACATTTCCACAGGCAGATTTGGGCTGTGAGCTCTTCTTCTCCTGTTCCAGTTCTTCAGCCAGGCCACATGTGCTGTAGAAAAACAAAGAAGTCACCTGCATCTTTCTACTTAAAGGTCATGAGGCATCAACACTTGTGCCAGCCCTACTCACATGCAACAGTGTCACATGACAACTGTCACACGACACAGCTAACTCTGGGACTCACGCTCCTCACTTTGCTCTTCAATACCACGGTTTGTATAACAAGTGTTGAAACATCCCTCAAGTTTAAACTGAGTGGGAAATGACATTACAGCACTTGTTATATGTGCTGTTTCTCCTTACAATGTGAGAAACCAGGGTTTTAGGCAAGCTATGCAGCTTGCACAAGCTATGCAGCCACCTCCAAGGTAGCTGTTGATAATATACACCATCGTGATCATTTGTAGCAGTCACAGGTCAATTATCACTGTATTTGAATTTACATTCCAATAATTAAGATAAGAAAGGACATGAACCAAGAGAGTTAGGCCCTAAAGAACAGCAAATTGCCTACAATCTTTTTTAAATCCCTCTAACTCTTAGGAGTTCAATGCTGCAGTTGAAAGGTCCACTGATTCATGAATTCCAGCACTGACCAGTTCTTGCAGGCTTTCTTTTTGCCCATTTCTTTGCAGGATGGAGCTCTGAGCGACGATGGATCTGGCTTTTTCAAATCCTCTGAATCCAACAGCTCATCAGAGTCCAAAAGATCCTGAAAATACACCATGAGAGACAAAATGCAGGAAATAGACTTTTCAGTAGGGAATAGCACTACTGAGTTATCTTCAAAGAAATGGTGCTATCTGTACACTGGCATGAAAGTGCTGCAGTTCTGTCCTCTTATCCCTGTCTCCTCTCTGCCGTCACCACATCACTGAGCTCTCCAGACCCCATGGAGATAATGAGCTATTTTGCCTTAGGGAGGATTTTCTACCTCTGAAGTTGTAAAGCCTCCCAAGAGACATCACTGAAAATATTTAGAATAGGAAAGAACGGGAAGAGAGAAGGAACAGCAGAGCCTCACAAAGAAAATCACTTACCATCTCTTCATCATTCATATCATTGGCAGACAGTGTCCACAGCTTGGCAGCAGCTGGGTCCACAGAGGGTTTTCCTGGAACCAAACAAAGGAAGAAATAGCAATTATTCCAGCCTTTGTCCCATCTACTCCAAACAGAGTTCAAGCAACTTTGGGAAGCCTCACTTCATAGGTTTTCACTGTAGCACTCCCTACTTGGGAACTGTCCCCCTGTTGCAAGTGATAGCTGTCACTGAGAGCCACCAAATCCAGATATTCAGCATGCATCATGCCTTACCTGAAGGACCAGGTCTCTTGGCAAAAGAGAGCTTGAGCTGACTTGATGATCCCACTTCGAAATTGGGCTTCCTCCCTTCTATCTGAATAATGAGAAGGTCATTGCCTTGGTAACCCAGATGTTCTCCAACAGACTGGGCCTCCTCTGGGGTCGGCGCTTCCTTTTGCAGCTGCCAAGTAAGATTTTAGGTTAACCTCATACAGAACCCCTTCTTTTAGCACCAAGCCCAGCATTCCAGTGAACAGACAGTATTTTCAATCCTAAAGAAAAACACTATGCTGACAGTAACTAAAGCTTTTTCCAGGCAGTGGCCATGTACATTTACAGCAAACAGGGTTGCTAAAAACCTCATCACCCAGCAGATCCCCAGGTAACTGCCCAAAGGCATTTCTGGAGATGGTAAACACATCCCTACCTCCTTTACTTCCACCAACCCAGAGAGAGTCAGAGTTGTGAGGAGTTGACAGCAGAACAAATCAGAAAAAGCATCAGCAGCTTGTTTATTAGAATAACAGTGTGAGGTCACAAAGCTATTCTAGATTCAAGTATGTTCTATATATGCCAAAACATTTCTCAATCCGTTCAATACCCATCAAAAAAAAATTTTAAAAATCCCGAAACCTGAAACAAACTCCCTCCTGAACATTTTTACTTATTAAACTACTCATGAAGTTTTCAAAACATGGACTCCTAAATGAACACTACATTAAGAAACCATCTTCTGTTCACCTTCTCATGGCTCCTCCAGCAGTCCCATGGCAGGTGCTCTAGAATTTTCTCCTAAAATTCAGTCCAAACAGTTTTAACCTTTTCTAGATAACTATTTCTCAACTGACTTCTGAGGCAATCTCTTCAGCCTCTGTCACCTGTTTTTAAAAACATTTTGGAAGCTCCTCAGAAACACAACGCTTGCGACTACTTAGCACTGCACCCTGAGGAGAAAACAGTGGTCACTGAAGCTTTTCCATGCAGTTGAGGAACAAGCTATCCTGCATTTTTGATAGGAGAGTGACTGCAAACATCTCTAATGGATATCAGCCTAAGCACAAGATAAAAACCTTGTGATTTGGGTTAGTGTGTCAGGAGAATGAAAATCTCTGTGTTGATCGGGGTTCCTGTCCTTTCTATTTCAGTCTAATCCTCACAAGAAATGCTATGTTTCCATGGAAGCAAGATTCTCTCACCTGATTCTGTAACCACTGGTTCTTTCAGGAGGACACGTCCCCCTGGCTTAAGTATCCGAGCTACCTCTGCCAGGAGCTCCACACTGTGCTGTGCTGTACTGCCTGGTACCATGCCAGAGAGGATTACGTCAAAACTGGACTCCCTGTGAGCTGCTGTGGAGAAAGAGCAAGATGGTACAATTTTACATGTACACACACTGTTTAATACACCAGTTCCACTTCCCTCATCCCTCATGCTTAAGTACAACAGCAGTATCTGATTAAAGACACCAATCATAGAAGCACAGCCAGGGTGCATCTCTTTCCCTGCTGTACTTAGTGTAAGGGTCAGCAGCAGGTGCTGTCAATGTTCTGAGTGCTGACTCTCGAAGTGGGAAGGTGTTGGATCACACAACAGCAGAACTCTCTCCCTTTAAGGAAACAGTGAAAAATTAAGCTCATTCTTACACTGAGGCAGCTGGTTAACGTTTTCCACGGAGACATGATTATCAGCTCCCACCAGCACCTGGACTTTATCCACCAAATCCTTCAGGGCTTCGACCGGCGAGGAGCTGTCCCAGACGATGGCCACGCGCTGGCCTGGAGCGACTCCGTACTCCCCCATTTCACAGCAGTAAACCTGGCACTGGTTGGGGGAGGAACAGGGCAGGAGAGAGAGGAAGGGTAAGTGCCAAGCACAGCACAAACCTCTATGGACTGTGACTTAATCAGCTGAGTTGTTTTAATAAATGGGGATAATTTTCTAGAAATGAGCAACACAAAGTTTCCACAAACTGAGCGTTAGCAGGACATGAAAAAAGAGCTACACTTCAGGGTATAATTCAGTTTCCCTCCAGCTCATGCACTAGTTTTGCTGGGAGACTGCAAGCTGTGATTTAAAGAAACCAACAAAATAATAAAGAAAACATACCTGCTTTCCTTAAAAATCTGAATATGACAAACAGAGGATTTCTGGATTTCCTGAGTAGTGACAGTTATTTGACATTAAATACTGCCTTGTCTCTCCTACTCCAAACACAACCTAGCAGAGTTTGCTTACACAGTACATGAGAAGAAAAAAGTAACTTTTAGCATTCCCAGCATTCCAGACTGAGGCTCTTCCCACCGTTATGATTGGTGGCACTGGGTGAGCAAATTACAGGGAGGGAGGAGTGGAACAGACTGTGCAGGGACAGTTTTGAGAAAATTCTCTCCACTGATATTTTATATGAGATTGCATTCCTTGTATGGCAATAGTATCTCATCATCACCTCTTCTCACAGCAGCATCAACTACTGAACCCGATTACCTCCCCTTTTTCCTCTATCCAACACAAACCTATTTTCTTCCTAATTTAACATGACCACAGAGAACAGAGAGCACTGTTGACCAGAAGAGTTCCCAGTGTATCTTCAATTAGCTGCAAACGACACACCTTTCTGGACAGTTGTAAACAAGGTCTTTACCAGGAATCACTACATCACACATCCTGGGTAATTCCTTACTGCCACCACTTTGTCACTAAAGCACAGCTCATGGATATGCTACACCAAATTTAGCTGCAGTAAGGTGAGGAGTGGATTTTGACCTACAGTTCCTCTGGCTCTGTGTGCTGTGGACTCCCCCTCTCTCCTGGAAACCGCAAACAAGTTCAGAATGGGACAATCGATGCCTTTTCTGAGGTACTGCGGTAGGAATTCACACTGAAACAACCACAATGCAAACCCAGTAGGGAATGTACAGCTTGAATGTACACTGCAGGTTGTAACATCTCACAGCTGTTTTTGCATGTGTGACCACACTAAGCAGCTACAGCAGCTACAGTAGCATTTATAAACACACATACTAATCCCATTAAAAAGTTATCTTTCCCAAGAAGGCTGAAAATCTTGAAACATACCTAAGCTTCTAGGCTAAGGTGGGAAAGATAAACCCGAAATCACACCTTCCTCTCTGAACAGCAGGTTATGACTTTGCAAGATCAGTCAGAGCCCAAACTGCATCAACAGCAACACCACCTCCCTGAGGTGCGGGGAGGACGCTGAGGATCCCGTGTGGGTGGTGTGAGGAGGGGCCCTTATCTCCATGTCACACACATTTAACAGTCCCTGAGGAACAGGGCAAGGGAAGGGGTTAAACAATAGCGCAGGCTCCGCTACAGGAGATTAGAAAACCGCTGTGCTGGAATGGGATGATCGTGACGGTCCCTCCCAAGCCAAACCATGGCAGGGTTCTATAGCACGTCAGGGCTGTGAACTGCAGCCTCCTGACGCAGCACAGCCAGCTCCCGGCGGCCGGGGCCGCTCCGGCTCCCAGCGGCGGCGCAAGGCTGCAGGCCCTATAGCAGGTGCGCCTTTTAAGCACACGGAGAACGGGCGGATAAACCTCTCGGTCACCGAGCAGGGACGATTCAGAGGGAGCAAGGACAGGAGAAGTGAGGAAATTTCGTGAAGGAATTACTTAAATACATACACACACACACAAACACACAGAGCCCCTCCCCAGCGCTTCAGATGATGTCTCAGAAAAGAGTTTTAAGGGGAAGGAAGGGGGAGCGCCAGGCCCGTCCCGCGCTCACCTCTCGCGGCTCGGCCCGCTCGGCTCCGCTCCTCGTCCCGGTCTGACGCCGTC